GCGAGATAAGCCGGGAAGTAAGCCACTCACCACTCCTCCATTTACTCCATTTACTCTTTAAGTTACTTCACTTTATAGTTAAGGCTGAGCTGACAGTATAGACACGTCGATTCGCATCATACATGTTACACCCTCGCTGGCCTCAGTAGTGTCCAGCACAAACATGTCAACACCACCAATGCAAGCAGTGGCTCACTCGAAGCAGCGTTCGGATGGATGTCTTCTCCCCTCTCGATCAACAACGATGCTGCTGCTGCTGACACGGTGTATGAAGCTAGAGACCGGCTGGCGGCACTGCACCCTCTTTTCGTCATTCCGCATGCTGCCGTCGACGCCATTCATTCATGGTGCAGAGCCAATCCCATCTCCATCTAAATCTCTTTCCCCTATTCTTCCTTATGACTGCCTACACTAGTAGATGCAGTGCATGCAACTTCTTTGTCTGGAGAGCCGTCCTAGCTAAGCATGCCAGACGGATTCAGCTCTCCGCTTGTTTGGTGCATGCCTCTTCCTGCATTAAATATTCTCGATGGTTATGCATGTCTGGATGTAATCCATGCTCGATATATGTATGTCTGTATGTACGCGCCCTGCTCAGTCCACCCTTGCTTGAATTCTTCAGTGGCAATCCATCTTCTTCTTCTTCTTCTTCTTCTTCGTTTTCTACCTTTTGAAACATCGTACCATCGTAGGAACCTTCCATGCTTATTCCCCACAAACACCCAGTTAGCATTAAGTATGTAGGCAGTAAGTTAAGAGTGACTTGAAAATAAAAAAAGTCAAGAAACTCCCGCTTGCCAACTCATCACTGCATCAAAGATGCCTGTCATCCTCAGGACAACGCATAAACTCGACCCTTTCGACTTGAACTCGCAGCCTCCCACCTCCACTGGCCGTTCATCCACTCCGGCTCTTCTCTGGCCTCTTTAACTCGTCTTCATCAGAAGATGGTTGCGCGAATATCATCCCCCTATTGACCATTAGTTAACCGCCGACCATTACCTGCTAACGGCTTGACTGACAGCGAGTAGACAGTAGAAAGTATAAGTCTCCGTCTGCCAGCGCATCTCCATCTCCGCCTCCAGACTAGCTATTACGTGCATTGCAGCTGCAGTCAAGCAAGTCAACATCCATCCTTACATACATACCTACTCACAGGTAGGTATGGATGCTCAACGGCCCAGGATAAGGACGCTCATCCCTGTCGATAACTTCAACATCTTCAACTCGGCCTTATCCACCAGCCCAGGTCTTGGTCTGCAGCGTCTTTTCGCCTTCTCCAGTGTCAATCATCGCCCCCATGCGCCCTCGGTTAATCGTCTGCCAGCCTCAATTAGTTAACCGGTTCTCTCCTCCTTAGCCCGATAGTTACTCACCCTCATGTACTCCGTACTCACGCCATAATCATGGTCATGATCACATCTCTCCCCTCGTAATGCATCTCCTCTTGCATAACTAGGTACAAGACGTGCATATCACAACCCTCATGCAAGGACAAGCAGCGTCAAGGTCTGCCCTCTCGACAACGCAGCGCAGCGCAGCGCCAAATAATCCCTGGCCTGGCAGAGAGAACCGTCCCATAGCCTCTCGATCGACGCAGCTGCATGCCCGCTGATTCGTCCGCCTCAGACCAGGATGTGGATGCTGAAGGGTTTCCGGTTCTCGATCTTTGATCCTGTCTGGGCCCATCCCCCCCCTTAGCAACTTCACTGGCGAGGAAACCTGCCAACACATCAACCGGTCGAAAAAACCCAAGTGGGAGGATAGTTAGGGGGGAAAAAGCAAGAATCGCGGAAAGTATGTGAGGATGGACTTGAGGACGAGCACCTCGAGGCTCCCTCTGTTCATGGGCAGCAGTAATGGCGGTTGATAATGGTGAATGCCGTTGGAGAGGGAGAGCATTGAGGTATCAACATCAACATCAACGTCAACGTCAGGCCAGCCAACTTGTTCCAAGGATATCTCGCGGTTATTCCATACATGCGAATTATCACCGTTAACCATTCATCTGCTCCCACCGTCCTCCATCATCATCAGCATCAGCATCATAGCCCCACCCGTTTCTCTCTTTTGCCATCTCTTTTTGCAAGGGAAGGGAAGGCAAGGCAAGGCGTCTTTCTTATCTCTCTCCTTTTTTTTTGTTCTCCCCATACTTACACTTATATACATAGGTAGCTAATACTCCCGGCTGGCTCCTCTGACCTGGCGCCGTCTAGAATGGTTTCTCTCCTCTTTCTTGCTTTTTGCCGTTAGTTAGATAAGAGAAACCGCCGTCCTTTTTGTATCCGTAGACACACAAGACACAGCGAGTCCTCCCTTTCATCCTCCCTAACCCTGAACTATTTACTTACATAGCACAACCTTGCCCTCCCCCCTTAACGTTATTAACAACCTCCGCTTCCCCTTTTCCTGCGTCTCTCTTAGTTCGTTTGCCAATTCCTCCGTCTCGTGCTCGTGGCTATTTCTACCTGACTTTTCCTCCGCAAAGAAACAGCCTCGTCTTTGTTTTTCAAATGCCCGTGTACTACTAGCCGACACCTGTTCTGTTGGGCATCAATCACAATCACCATCACTACCACCACACAAGAAGCTCTTGTTTTTCGTCCGTCCGTGGCCTCGGTCGAGAAAAGGAAAGAAAAAAAAGCATACTATTGCTCCTGGCCGGGTTCGGGTTTTGTGGTTGAACGGCCGTATTGTGCGTGAGACTGGGAGAGTCGGGCTTCTAACCGTCCATCTGGGCTGGGCTGGGCTGAAGAAAACATCTTAATTAACTTGCTGAAGCTGTATTCCTGCCTGAGGACACTTGACGTGCCCTACGATACCCAATCCCAAGCTTAATTCTCTTTCTTGCTGTGTGTGTGCGTGTTTTTACGTTTCAAGGGGGTACATCGGCTATTGGGTCTCGAGATGTACTACATCCTCTATCTAGCGAGTATGTTTGACCTCCCCCCTTATTCCTCCCCCTGACAGGCTCTGAACCAACCAATTCATCCTACGCATCCCTTTCGTATCATACAGACATGGCTTGCTACCCAATCAATTGCCGTCTACTCACCCCCTTGGACATCAATGCTTCTGCTCTCCCGTCCCCCCTATTTGGTGATGCCGTTTGGCAGGAGAAATGGCACCTTGGTTTCTTTCTCTCAGGCTGGATATTCCAGAATCCAGATCCATTGTCCAATTGTCTCTTCGTAGTAATGGACCCGTTACTTTGCAAAAAAGAAAGAAAATAACGTCTTGGTGCCTGATACCTGCTTGTTTTTCTAATAACATACCCCCCTAGTCTGTTCTGTGTCTTGTACCGGCTATGTTATACTCCTACCCCCCAGCTCAATGCTGGAATTGATCAACGTTGTGTCACCCTGTGGCTTCACCATAGACTTTTCCCCGGATGTCTAAATCACCTACCTACCTATCTACCTGCTCTGTCAATATTGTCTACTGGCTTTCTTTTCTTTTCCTCCATTCTTCTCGAAACAAGACAATTGCCAACTCAGCCCTCCAAACCAAACATACCAGACCAGCCAATAACATGTGTTTTGTTCCTTGCAGGTCTTTGCCGCCGTCGTCGTTGGCCTGAGCCCCTTTACGAACAAGTAAACAACGGCTCCGGCTCAGGATACACTTGTGTCGTCCGGGTCAATAACCGTGAATACCAAACCGATGAAGTCTGCCAGACCGAACTCCTGGCCCGCGAAAAGGCCGCCATGCGAGCTTATCTGATCTGCAGGAACTTCTCTGTCAACGACGGCATGTACCCTGCCGGCCATGACCACGGCGGTGTCGTCCAGGGCATACCCGTGGCCATTGGCAAGGACCGAAGACCACGATACTCAGATGACACCGACACATCCACGACCAGCAGCGGCGGCAGCCGGAGCGGAGGCAGCAGCCCCGAAAGCTACGAGAGAAAATGGATGTAGAGAGGATCGACTTTTGAGGTAAGGTTATAACATACATCCGGACCGTCAGGGGGTGGCATACAGCCTCCCGCTACCCTGCATGAGCCCAAACGAAAATCTAACTCGGCTCCAGCTCGAACCGTCCAACGAATTTACCTATCATATAACTACGTCATGCGTACCATACATACCATACGTCTGCCAACATGCAATCCTTGTACTCTGCCCCGGGGGAGTTGCAAAAGAAAAAAAAAAATGAACGAATCAGCGGGCTTATCACATATTTCCGAGTCCCTCCATGCCGCATGTCCATCACACTTCTTCACACCGTTACACGAATAAGAACGTCCATACACACCAGACACACACGACAGACATACCTTGATGGCAGACATCTTGTTTATTCGCAAAAACTTCGCCTTTACGCTTTCTTTTACAACCACTTCTTGCCTTCTATCGATGTTCGGATTGGATACGCGGCATTCCCCCCTGATGATTTCCAGCTGTGATGACAACCCAAAAATTTATAACGACAAATGAATTATGACTGAATGACCACTTACGAATTACTCCTTACCATGCCTGTTTTTTTTTTCTCCCCGTCCCCATCTCTATAGAACTTCGCTTATGTTTCCCCTCCAAGCAAAAAAAGCCGCAATGCTCTCAGGCATGGAGGTGCCCTTTGTCTTGCTCTTCTATTTCAAGTCAATCTCTGGATAAATCTGCTCACTCAATTCTATTTCTTGCCTTCTTCGGTGGACATCTTCTCTTTTACACTGACTTTCTTGCTCGTTTACTTACTTGCCTTGTTTCCTTAGAACTGGAACTATTCCATATCTTACCCTTACGCTTTATGACTTACGATTCAATGATGACGACTCTCTGGAAAAAGACCACATCACTCACTATCTTAAAATGGACGCTCGAGGGAAAATGCAGACCTCTTCTTATGCAAATGCAAATTTAAAAAAAAAAATCCTTCCCATCTCATTAATTTTCCCCGATTAATAAACCAAACCAGGCCAACAAACAACGCATGTCGACGAGCGTAAGTTAACTCTCTAATGGATCTTGGCCGGGCACAAATCTGACTCGGGAAAAATCATCCCTTCCGGCATCTTTCTCTTCCCTACCATGTGATGTGTAACAGCCGGGCGGAAAATAACGAACTCTACCCCAGCACACGTTAGCCAGAAGTTGAAGGATGAGGGTTGTCTCTCCCCCCTCCATTCCGTTTGTTCCGCATTGGCTTCTCCTTATCCGGTGCCATTTCTTCCTTTCTGTACTAGGTGGCTGGAAGGTTTGGTTTGTTGTCCCTTTTGTCCTTCCATCGGGTGATACCAGCCAATCGCCCTACAGTCACAATAGCAGGCAGAGCAAGGCAAATCTATAATTAAGGTAGGGAAATATACCTTCAAATAGACCCTAGTATCAGGCCTAGAGGAAATATAAAACAGAATATATAAAATTGCCTCTTTCTCCCTCAAGACTGGTGGAACCATTCGTCTTCCAAGAGTTGATGTGCTGTCGGCCTATCTCGTGGATCAAGTTTCATTATTCTCAGAACAAACTGCTTATCCTCCTGGCAGATCTCTCGCAGAATAGTCAGATGAAGTGGCTTCAGGGCATGCGCGGGGGTATTTTTCATAATCCATATCAGGATCGCTACCTTTTGTTCATTAGCGATCTCTTCATAAGAGACTGGGAACGGGCCAAAGCATCTATAATGGTTAACGATTATTTTGAGTTCATAGTCGTCGTGGCCAACAGGGACGTCGGGTTTGAATATATGAAATCCTTCCCCGTATAGAAAGCTAATAAGCCGGGAAGAAGTTAACCATTAAACATCTGATTGATGTAGTATTTGAGCTCACTATTGTCCCGAATGACCAGATATCAGTAGAAGTGCTCCATCTCATCTGTAAATGCGCTTCTGGACTTCTGAAAATCGGGGTCCCAATGGGATCTCCATTTCTTGCATGGCTAGAGTCTTTGTGAATAGTACTTCCGAAATCAGCCAACTGGACATCCGTAAATCGGCTGCCCTGCTGTTCTCCTGCCTGTAATTCACCAGCACATTATTAGGCTTGATATTTTCAGCTCGGAAAATCAGCAAAGTACACATAGAGTAGGGACTATATCCAAAGTATCATCAGGCACCTTACCTGTATGAACAAAGCCTCCCTCATGAAATGCAGAAATTGCTTCAAGGACCTTCTTGGCTACATATTTGACTTCTGACCGAGTGAGACGCTGGGTATCAGAGGCATTTAATAGGTCATCATCTACGTGTTTTAAGACTATGGCAGGAGGAGTTGATGGTTCTTCAATTTCATCAAGTAGTGGACGTATAAATGGTGAGTTATGTTGGAACCGGCGCAACACGTCTCGCTCGTTGTGTATACGAGAGTGGTTCACGGCTTTAACTACGACTTGTTTATTGTCGCATGTCCTTTTTGAATTCAGTATCAATTGCATATCCAGTCAGCCTTGTAACTATTAGTCCATACCTTGCAACCCAAACACTATCCTGTAGTTGTTTGGTAACGGTATAAAGACCCAGCCTGCCTTTCAATGTTTGTCCCAGCATGCCCTAGGAAAAAACCAGTTTACAGAGAGCAAAGCGAATTAATTAGGTCGTAGAAATAGCCCCTCGTACTGGCATCATCGACACTCCTTCAAATCTCAACATCAAGATGTAGTTAGCGCCGAACTTCCCCGGTTTCAGGGGGTGCATTTATTACGTAATCTAGAACTGAGCCGCATATCACGTGATATAATTTATGCTTATTAATATTATATTCCGTTTGCCAAATCCATCCTCAAATGTCGGTAAAAGAAAACGACGATAACAACAACAACTAACACTGGAGGAGAAAGGAAGAAGACGATACAAGAAGAACAGAAACTGACGTGGTCTGCCTCTGGTTGCCTGTATGCGTAGCAGTGTCCTGTTTATTCCTTCAAACTCGGTTATGATACCATGGTTACGTTGACACATCGAAATGATGAACACCCCCCTCCGGCAGATACCCTGAACCCTACGTTCCCTCCTAGCGCTGCTCTTCGTAAAGCATGTCCTCCAGTCCATTCCACAACATGTCAACGTCAATATCAGCCGCGAGGATCCCTGCATCTAATTCCAAAGGAGAAACTGATTTCTGGGGAGAGTGAACTTGAATTTCATTGGTGGTTGGACAATTTGTGCAACCACACATGATGCTCTAGTTCTAGAAACTCGAAAACAAGATGCTATCCAGGATCGGGTTTTCATCCCTCTCAGCTAGCCATGATCTGGGTATTCGGGTCATGTATTTGCGCGCTAGCTCTCTCTTCTCTCTCTCTCTTTCTCTCTCTCTTTTTTCTTTTTCTTTTTCTTTTTTTTTTTCCCCAACTTCCTCGTTAGCCCCGTATTAACGTTGCGCAGAACGGAAGGGTAGGTAACAATCATCCATAAACCCAATTTGGCGAAAGCAAATAATGGGGAGAAAATTTTGCGGCAGATAAAAAAGGAAAACAGAAAAAGGAAACTCAACGAAGAAGGACGGGGAATTGTTAGCCAATTGGCTCATGCCATGAAATCGCCAAAACGAAGAACCAAGCAGAATCGAATAAGTGGTGCGCATACAACAAAAAAATACAAAGCGATTGTGTATGTGTGCAAAAAAGGAGAATAGAAGTTTCCAATCTATGAAGGAACTTGCCCCCCAATATTAGCCGCCCGGCCCGCTAGACATGGCTGATATAGCAACGACGAGAAAACCGGTCAACATTCAGTGTCTGATAGGATCGTAATAAGTCGACTTTGTTTGTGTTTCTAAACTTGAGGATGGGCTTTTTGAGCCTTTGAGCCGAAGTCGAGCTCATCAGAGAGGAAACTGTTAGTACTCTTCGCTTCTCAACCATTAAAAGTTGCGACTAGATTTGTTTAAGTGGGAATGGAGAAATAGAGAGGGCGTTGAATTTACCGGAGCTACCACCACTACTGCTGCTACCACCGTTGCCGCTGCCGCCTGGGTCTTTCTTGTTCTGGTTACGATGACGATTGTTGCGTATGTCCCGCGACCGGAATACACTGTACAACAGCCATCCAGTAACCCAATTAGGGCCGTACTCCCCGTGGGTAGCACCACGATCAAATAGGGGTCGTGTCACAGGTCCTGAATTTCTCCATATTTCCATCACGCCCCACCGCTGACGTTCAGGGCGGATGTAGTGCCAACAATACGGTGGCCGCATGTTCGGGTCGGCTCGATAATTATCAAGCAAGTCCGAGTTGCTTCGGTGCATATAGTTGTACACCACAATTGCTTCATCCTGATAAGGTAAGCTATCAGCAATTGCACATTCCGCTGCATATCCTTCTTCCACCCCATTCCTCTTTTTTCTCACATGCTAGCCACTGGGAACACTGGAGCTTGTAATTGGTAGGTGGATTCCTTCTACCAAATTGCTGGGTCAACTCACCCTCATGGCACGATAATATGGCTCATGCTGAGGATTGTTTGCATCTAGACCAAGTGCGCGCATGAAATCCTCCTTTGATGCTCGTGGCCCAACAGGAGTTGACATCTTTTCTTCTTCTTTCTTCCTTCGGTAAATCAATAATCGATCAAGGCGAGATCAAATCCTCTTTTAGGTATACCAGGCATCAGATCCCTTCAATTGAATGCTAGGTGTACACTCGGAATAACGAAGAGCTAGGCTTGCTAGAAAAGGAATGAATAAGAACAAGAAAGTGGTAAGAGAGACTGAGTGTGGAAATGCTTGGAGCTGGAAATCCACGGCGACCCTGCGGTTTTTTATATCTCCAACCCCCAGCGCCTCAGGAGCATCGAGCTTAGTCCTCTGATAGCAAACATTATGCATCTTACTACGTTCTCTGCAGCCCTGATTAGATTTTATTATTTTTTATTTCTTTTATTTTTACAAACTTCAATTGAAGGGGAGAAAGGGGGGTGGTTGAACGCGAATTCGACAGATATATGTCAACGTCACAATGCAGTAAGTTTATCGTACATACTCGATGCATACGACGGAAAAGCAATATGATATCCTATTTATCATGTGCGACTAGGTTGACCCCGGTTTCCAACCATACAGAAGGCCTGGAAGGTTCGGACAAATTTCGGATCCCCTGTCCCCGTAAGACTATATATCGACAAAATATACCTCAAATGTCGACTTTGCAGTGCAGCCATGCTGATCGGTAACCGCTCCATCGGAACGTCCCCCTCAAGAAAACATGGAATGGATTGGCTCCTCCACCGTAGGGAGTGGGAGAATAGGGCTTTGCTTGGGCAAGGATATCCGCAACTTACATACTGTGTGAGTAACAGACTGGAAGTCTCTCGACAAGGCTGCCGTTCACATGAGAACTTTATGACGAAATATGGAGCCAACCTTGGGCGGCTTTCCTCCCAGCACATCGTCCACGGCAATCATCCCCGCGTGGTTGTTAATTCTGCAGCGCAGTTGATATGAGCTGGGTTGGGTTGATAGGGTGTGACAGCTTTTTCTTGAGTGATACCGTATGTGTGTGCGTGTATGCGTGTGCCATCCGCTTCGAACTCCTCAGCCATTAATATTTATATCGATGTTATTATTGCGCCGGCTATTCAGACAACATCGTTGCTGATGAGGAAAACGCACAACGGTAGCTGGTTGGCTTTGGGACCCCCGTTGTGAGACAGAATCAAGCCCTTTTGTTCGACAATTACCATGCTCTTTCGGTGGTTTCGAGTCATTGGTGACACTTTCTAGGTGATTCCGCCTATTCCGCCAACATGGGAGTGACCATCCGGTAATGTTTATCAGCTCGAAAAAAAAGGGGCCCAATAAGCACGTTCCGGCGCTGTCCATTATCCGAACTCTGCATCCCATGATAACCCTGGCGTACGATACCACCCTTCCAGCTATCAAGTTGGACTAGTTAGCGTCCGTCGTATTCTTCAGGATGCAGTGACATGCGTGCCTCTATTCCTTTCCAGTCTTTTGGGCCAACACGGCCATCCGGGTACCTACTTTCTTCTCCTCTCCCGCCGACACCAAGGAACAGGCTGGCGTATTTAAAGCTATGTGGATCAGCCTGCAGCGTGGGTACATTTTCGCGCATTTTGCGGTAGTCGAGACCCAGATTATAGCCGTTGCAATCGAACCGCCCTCCCAATAGTTTTTTTGCTTTTCTTTAGAAAGGCTGAATGCCCCTTTGGTCATGGTGCTCCATTTCCAAGGCCAATCACGACTGGCTCAGGGCTCGCGTTGTGTATTGCCGTTCGCCTAATGCAAGCCTCCTTGCTTACCCGGCTAACGCATTAGTTATTGATTTCGGTAACAGGGAGTGTGGAGTATGCAGGGAAACACTGGAAAATTTTGCAATTCTTATTCCCCTGGTCCTGCTTGCATGGTCACTCCAGTCCATTTGTTGGGCTGTTTGTTTAATGGCGGTGTTACAGCGAATGAAATATTGACCGCAACACCCCGTGGAAGGAAGAACTCATGATGTCTGGTCCCTTCTCCTCCGCTCATCCATTGCGTCTTTGAGAATGAAAAAAAGGAAGTCGACTTATAAAAAGTCTCTGCATCCCCTGCACAAACCAACGGCAACGGAGTCTCTGGGAACTATGGGGAAGAGTGGAAGCGTCAACCTCGTTTCCAACCCCGTCTCCTTGATTCGAGTAACCTTATCCGTCGTATAAGGATCTAAATAAGCTGTCGGGGACCAAGGGTTCAAGTTATGTGCGTTCCGCACTAGGCTGCCTCAGATTCCGGTGATTTAGCGATAATTAATCAGATCACAATGACCACCCCGGCCTCTAACCGCGAGTTTGTATATACGGCCTCATAAGCCGACAAACATTCTCACTAACTGAACCATACAAACAATCTAACTAACTTTTTGTCCAAGAGATAATACCAGTGACAGACTAAAATAGTACACTTATGCATGCAGGTCCTGGCTTGGTGTAAGTAGGGGTTGGATGGCAATCATAAGCCCCCTTCGGCTATGCCCTTACGTCCTCCCCGTATACACACCTGTCTTTTTTTACTGTGGACAATCGGCCCCTGAGTATATGCTTTTCCTTTAGGGTTTGCTCTTTGACGTGGCCTTATACTAAATCTCAGCCAGGGAATTGACTATCCCACTGCAGGTGCCTGTAATTCTGAAGTGGTCTGCATGTAACGGGGAATCAGGGTAGCCTGCAGCCAGGTGCTAACTATGCAATCTTCCTCTTCATCATAAAGATTGCTTGCCATTGCCCAGATATGAAGAGTTTCATGTTTCCTTCGCACCCCTTTCTGCCCATTTTTATAGATAGGCTATCGGTTCAATACACGGCGAGGCATGGAATGCGGAGAAGGCAAATCTGGCCACCCTAGCGTGATCATTCGCATTAAATATTTTTCTTAGCATTTGAAAAGAAATGGATTAAGGAGCAGGTATAGGGTATGAGCGTCCTTCACTTTAGACAAAGGAATTATCAGCCAAACGACAAGTTGCTTTTGGTAAAGATGCTCCTAGAATTTTGGGTTGAGCCCGATCTTTCCTAAGCTTTGCACTGCCCTAAATAGTGAGCCTATGAGCAGTTCTGTCGTTTTCGTGTCCTCTATCGCTGGCACGTACATAATTCCCGCCCAAGAGCAGCCTTGCCTCGTGGTCCATTTCCTGAATTCAACCTAGGTTGTTGCCAGCTGGCAAGATCAACCAACCCACTCCAATTAGTTACGGATTGACGCCGTGCTCGAGCCATCACCATCAAGTGATATTATACCCAGCATACGGAATACTCCCATAGCAATAATTCGGTCATATTTCGGAGATCCCGTCCGGACAGGGTTCTTGGTAACTAAGTGAAGGATCCCGTGGGGTACCTCCACTATCGCACATGCTACGTGTAGTGCAGAAAATACCAGCCACAAACCCCGAGGGGAACTCAAGAGGAATCACAGCTTCCCAGCTCCATTGTGTTAGGGGATTTTCCCCTATTCCTTGTGAGTCCCAACGCAATTTCAGCGGAAAAAGTCATGATGGTGCCATTGCCCTCCGATAGAGCGAGAAACGAGAAGTATCGAACCCTCGAGGAGGCATTGAAGCATTAGCGATCGTATGACGTAGTTATGACGATCTGGGGTACGGAATAGTTAACTAACAAACAAACAATCCCGAGTGGCAATTTTCATCGTGAAGGGGCAGATTTTAAGGTCCAGTTACCGGCTTCACGATCTAAACTCAACCCTGCATATGACGACCAATTGAGAAAGTTAGTCGAGCAAGCGATTGGTAGGCGAGCAATTTGCCACTCGAGGGCTTGAATCAAGAGATCAGATAGGAGGCCACAGATCGGTGCACACGATTAACGTGTTGTTTTCATCGAGACTGGACAAAGATTAAAGTTCGTGCGCAAAGTACGATGGTGAGATCTTCCCCCTTCTAAGCCTTGCCTCCACCTTGGTCAGCCCTTTGATATACGAATGCTGGGTGTGGGGATGGCGGGAGTGTGTCCCCTTGCTGCGTCTAAATTATCTTTAATCGAACCAGTTAGACTCCGCATGATATTTCATCACCGAAATGCACGTTGGGACCTGACCGCTGATCTCTCCTCCACTTTTTCTTCTACCTCTCTTTTACTACCTCCTTCTCATACTCCTAGAAATAGGACTCAGGATAGGGTGGGAGAATCAGGGGGTCAGTCAAGGTATTCCCTTAGTATAAGTAAGGAAAAAGTAGTTATAAGAGAGGCATAGAGGATGAGGTTGAAATGACAAGGATAAGAATGGGGATGCAAAAGAGACTACTTCTTGCTCTCATTTTTATTACTGCAGATCTAATAAAAGTACCCATGGGTGCAAGATCCAGCACATGATGTTTTGTACATAATCATTCTTGGTACTGCTAGAACCTAGCAGCGATGGTAGCAATGACGGTGATAGTAGTCATTGCCGTAGACGTCATAGTAGGGTCGGTAGGGTTGTCGTCGTCGTCGGGTTGGTAATCGGGGTGATACCTGCAATGCCCAGCAGTGGGGGGGCTTATTTTGGGCAACTGACGAGCAGGAAAGTTGGCCTGGATGCTAGTTAACAAGCACCAGTATAAGTCAATTGATACGGCCTCCAATATCAGTCTCGATATCTGCTTTAATAGCCCTGGTAATAATAGTAAAAGTAGAAGAGAGTTCATGGAGGAGGACTGCCAGGAGGGAGGTCATCTCCTTTAGTTGAGTAACTCGTTATCCCCTTGTATCTTCTTGTTTTGATACGCAAGGGTATCTAATTAATGTTACTATGGAATAAGAAGAGGGGTTGAAGCTGAATGCAAGACGTCGAACGGTCGAGTATAGGGAGATATTGTCTGATCCTGAGAATAGGGAGTCGATGATAATGGCCGTAAAAGGATATGGGCAATATCAACGTCACGTTATAGTCATGGTCATGTGATCACTTATCCAATATTTCACGTGACATTTTATGCATTTGCACAATTGATGCTTTAAATTCAAGAGTTCAGCAATGAATCAGCGAGGATATCTATATTCATTCGAATCATAAGCACTCGTGAAGAGCTGGGATATGATTGCCCTGTTGTGGGTTATAGTGTATCTAAATGCTCCCTGTGGGATGCCGTCGCTCCTCTGGTGATGGAAACAGTGCATGCATTTAACTATCACGCAATACAACGTCAAAAAATGGCATTGGCATCTGCTGAACGGGAGTCACAGGCCAGCAGAATGCCCTAAGTATCCCCGTCACTCAAAGGCATGTTATTGCTGTCTTTACCTGATACTGGTGCCTTGCGCGAAAGATTGTATAGTTTGTGGAGGCTCCAAGTTAAGGCTTAGCTCAACCTTAAGTCCTTCAAGCCAGTCTCAATAGCCGTCTGTCAAAATCAGCCTCAAGCCAGAGCCTTGATCTTTCATTCGTATCATTGCCAGAGATATCTCTGTTGACTTGCTCCTAATCTCGCCGTCTTTCTGCCTCTTTTTCCCTTTTTATGTCTCGTTTTCTTCGTCTTCCCCAAGCTCGTTTCAGGCGCTTTTTGGTCTTGGTGTAAATCAAATACTAGATCGCGTAATATTACACACTCCGTTCCTGCATCTAAGCCGCTTTGGGAAAGCATCGAGCTGTTTAACCAATAAGAGAGAGGCCGCGTCTTCCTCCGGACGTATTTAACACAGCCGAAATACCGGGAGATCGAAACAAGCTTTTTACGAGGCGCTTTCCTTGGCGTCTTTTTCTCTTTCTTTTTTCGCTTTTCTCTCTTTCTCTTCGTTCGTCTCCATCATCGGCATCGTCGTCGTCGTCCTCTTATTCTTTGCTCTACGCATCCTCTCGCCGGGTAACTGTGTATATTCTAGCAGACCAGGTGTTCTCTGCGGGTTAAAAGGGGCAATTGAACTCGATACCTTCACCTCCTTCGCAGGACACATCCGCAAGAAGCCGGTCAGCCATCGCAGCCATGGTCTTGCTACGGAACATAGCTCTCGTCGCCCTCACTCTGGGCAGCGGAGTTAGTGCTTCAAATGCAGCTTACTTTAAAAGAGTTCCCGAAGGTATGTTTTTGTTGCTATATTTGCCCCTGTAACTTTGATCTAACGTGATTCCATTTTCCAGAAACGTTGACCTCTGCTGTTGCAAAGACGACGGGAACCGAAACTGTTCAGTCGACAGCTACCAGCGGTGCTGAATCTTCCATGACTTCCAGCTCGTCTACTTCGACCAAGGCGACGGCCCCTACTCCAACCCCGACCCCTTCAGATGACACGGATACTGGAGGGTCAGGGTCCCAGGAAGATCCAGAGCTCACCGGTGACAAACCCAAGGAAGCTCAGGCATGCAGTTCCGAAAAAGACCTCTCTATCAAACCATTCTGTTCGCCTCATGATCAACAAGAAGTATATGTCGATGACACTTACTATGGTATGTAACTTGTTGCATGATACTGTGCTTCAACTAGACATTGCTTTGCATGTTTATCTAACAGTGTCTGTCTTAACAGTAACCTGGCTTACTTCACTTGTCGGTTCCGACTCTGTTGTTAGAGTTGGCTTAGACTATGTCAATGTCTCTATGAATGAAGGACTCAATGCTTGGCTTTCCCGCGAGACCCCAAACAACCACAGCTATGTCGCCATTCAGATGAAGCCGGAGTGGCTCAAGGGCGAGAAACGCAATAATCTCACGTTTTTCCTGGATGAGTTTCCAGAGGGTAAAGGAAAGGTTCATCACAACGGCCCTACCATCTCCCTCGTCAACAAACCTCCAGTTCACCATCCTCCACCCCCTCCAACTCCTACACCCAAACCCCTTGGCCTTCTTATCGGTCTACCTCTTGGTCTTGGCGCCGTTTTCCTGATTCTACTCGGCCTCTGCTTTGGTATGAAGCACCAGCGCCGAATTGGCCTGAGCAACATCATGGGGAGACGCAACAAGGGCTACGGTGGTAGACGTGCCAGAGCCATGAGAAGTGGACGCGGCGCTGGTGGTTCTATCAGGTTGGACGACATGGAAGATAGCGGACAGCAGTATTCCGACACCCCCCCTGAGCGACTTCCATCACGTCAGCATATAGTTTCCGATACGGAGACTTTCAACGAAGTTCAACGCCGCGAAGGGAATGCTTTCAGACAGGAACTTGCCCGCTTGAAGAACTGGAAGTGATTGAATAGGATCACTATATAACGAATTCCTGGTCCTGTACTGTGTACAGTCACCTTCTATAACGACTGCACGGAGCTATGCCACCTCGTGATTGACCTTGGCCCTGACCTTGACCTTTTACCTATATCCTATCATCCTTTTTTTTTTGACACCTTACCGCTGGGATTGATCGGTATGTGATGATTATACTCAAAACCCATTGAGTACGACTGTTGAGCCTGTTATTTGTGTATACCGTTATGTTCTGTTTTTGTTGATATTATGTTCTTTGGTTTATATTGTTTGATTGTTTGTCATGCCTTCTTCACTGTTTCACTAGACAGCCACGGTGCATGCATTAAGTTTTCAAAGTGGTGTATTCTTTAACCCACAGGTTCCCATCTTTCCTTTTGGTACTTGGACGCTGTATAAAAGGACTTTAAAACCATTATTATACCAATAGACGATTGTATTATCCTGGTGCTTACAAACGATTCTTCATATTAATTGAATAGCCCTCAACATCACCCTCGATATGTCCCATGGTAAGAGGCACAAAATAGAACAGACTAGAACAATGATAAAACGCAAATTCCTATTCATTTTATACTTTTTTTTCTTTTTTTCCTTTTAACGTCGTTCTTTTGGTGCACCATCATGCCAATGCAAAAAAAAAAATATGAAGAAATCAATACGCCAGCTCGAACTTACATCAGCAAAACTTAATGTAGTGACAAGCATATAAGCGTGAACCATGGTATCGAACGGAGGGCGAATCAGATAAGATAGAGTAAAAGTAAGGAAAAAGGGGTAAAAGGGGAACAAAAGGTAATTTTGCAGTCAAGCCGTGAACGTGTGTAGAAAAAAGCCGATTTTTTGGGGGGTCTAAAACAATTGGTGAGTACAAAGGCAGCATGATGGAAAAACGACTACAGACAGGACTGAAGAAAGAGGCTTGCTGGTCTGGCTGAGAGAAATTGAATCGGGGATAGGAGGCAACGGGTCATCAAGTCGCCGTGAGATAAAACCTTGGCTTCGCGTGTATCGTAAGGCTAAAGACAAACCTGGATTGTAGTGGGAGTTACTCCGTTAAAAGAATCGTCGTGACATGAGAAAAGGGGAATGGAGGGGAATATAAGCGGATACAAGGAAGGTCATTTATGCGGTTGTTTCCTCGCCGTAAAACGACTTGAGCACGCTAACGACATCGTGATAATCATTCTTTGCTTCGGCCAGTGCCTTCTTGATGTTGGCTAGCGACCTGCTTTTATCTGGCTCAGGATGGGTGCCAGACTCGTCCTTTTGTTGGCCGTAGTTCTGGATCTTCTCACAGGCGTCCTTGACCTTGGTCAGGCCCAAGGTAGCCGAGGATCCCTTGAGGAAGTGACCTAGTTGGGACAGCTCAGCTAGATCTTCGGACGAGCTGTAAACAAGTAGTAATAACGTTGTTAATAACAAAGGCTTCTCCTTGGAAGGGTGCGGGTAATGACGTCATTGGAAAGGCAAAGATAGGGGTCACGGGATGATGTTATGATGACGTCACGGCAAACACGTCAAGGAGGGGATGAATGTCAAGACCAAGGTCACGGTGGAAGCGAAGGGAGTGGGATATAAGAAGGGAAGATGAGAACGCTTACATGGCGGATTCCATTTTGAGGAACGTGGCTTCTGCCTGGTCGAAAAAGCCATATACTATACTTCGGCTGAACTCCCTCTCTTGATCCTCGTCGTCCATTTCTAGAATCTGTTCAAAAGTGCCTACATCAAGGTATTTATATTTTTCGAGGCTCGATATGTTATTTCTCGGCTGGAAAAGTCGCCATGTTAGCTGAACTGGCAGAGATAAAAGGGGGATGATGGAAGTTGGAGATAAATACCCCGTCTTCGGTTTGCACGGATGGAGCCATGATGGACGTCCTGGGTTCAGACTGCACAGGATCGGAAGAATGTACGCAAGGTCTCATTTGATATTGCAGCCTGGAGGGGCTCTGTCTCTTTTATTGGTATCGAAAAGGCAGGTTGGTGTGACGTTGACAAAAACTTTGCCAGAACTATCAGAAACCAGTGCTCTGGTTCGGGGTTCGGCTTAGTTTTAGACGTTGTGCTATCCGCGGTTGTAAAGTAGGCGTTCCTGGGGGAAAAAGGCTGGTATATAGGAGATCGCAAATTGAGGCTCGAAGTCGGGCTAAACTGCGTCGAAATGTCCCTTATTTTCTTGGTCGTTCGAGCTTCTCTCTTTCTTTTAGCCGGGGAAATGGTTGCGTGGGACCCTGAGACAAATCGTTAACTTTCAGGATACTTATAAGTGCCACCGAGACCAGTTGGCTGATGGAGAATACGGTCGTAAGACGTGGCAAATGACAGTGGAGGTGGTGTTCTTATAGATTAATAAAAACATGTGATGTGTAGATTTTGCGCGGCCAGACCCGAGTCAGGTAGATAGTCGAGCACCAACCCGTGGGGGTGATGGGCCCGAACAGGAGCCGTTTAGCCAGACAGATAACAAAGAATAGTGGTCTGAGAGGCGGGAGATTCGACATTACTACCCAGCATGGGAGTTAAATGTTATATTGGAGGGTGGGGAAGAACTCGGAGGAGCGTAAAACAAGGGAAAGTCTATATTCACCTCTGATTTGACAAGGGGTCGTAAAAAAAAGTTGTATAAATGGAAACCTCCGTCAAGCGAAGCAAAATCAAATAAATGTATCTATCAAAGAGGTAAGTAAGTGTTTGCTATGAAAGAGTTGAAGAGTGACTTGGGAAGCAACGCAGACTTCAAGTGGAAAAAAAAAAAAAAAAAAAAAAAAAAAAAAAAAAAAAAACCCAAAATGGGACAAGTCACAGTAACTAACATATGTTAAGCAGGAATTCAAGAAAAGGAAGAAAATGAAAGCCAAAAAAAAAAAAAATAAAAAAAAAATAAAATATCAATAAACGGCCCTGCTGGGGCTCCTGATATCAAAACAAACATGCAGAAGATATGCAGAAGGAAATACCACTCACAATCAATTTGTTCCAGCGGAAGAATCTATTCCATTCAAGAGGATCCGTCTCGTTTGCACTGTCTATTCTGTCAGAAAAAAGACCCAAGGGGAATTTATACGCTCTTAAAGTTTTCTTTCTCTGCGTCCCCTTGCTGCTGCTCTCTTCTCTCCGCCGTTTCTTTTCTTTTCTTGTTCTCTTTGCTTTTTGGACAGAGTATGCATACCGATGATAAGCTTGGAGGGATTGAGGGTTGGGCGTCTTAAAGAGCGAGATGCAAGCCAAAAGATCCCAGAACCACGTTGGTACAGTGGTGTCGAGAAGCACTGGTGCTGTATGATAACCTGGGACTCAAACGGCGGCCAGAAAGCACGCTGCAAACGCCCACTGATTTTGCTTGTTTGAATAGAAAAGAAGTCTCAGGACTTCTTTTGCTCTATATCGGTCTTTTGGTCACTTTTATTTTCTTCGGGGTTTTTGCTGGTGTAATAGCTGCAGCCAACAGCGGTCCAGGCAGTGTCCTGACAACGCCGTCGCCAGCGAGCAGTGATGGCGCCTAAAACGTCTAGACACACTCAGACCAGATGAATGCTGCAGAAAATATGCAGAGAACGAGAGAGGCAGGGTGTACGTGTGAGCGATTGAAGTGTTGAGAGTGAGAGGTGTGAGGTGTGGAAGAAGAGGAGGAGGAGGAGAGGTGGACGAGGAGGGGAGGATCGCCAGTTAGTCAGTCTAGTTGCGGTTTGGTGGGGATCTTTGAGGTATTACTGACTTCCCTCCTCCCCTTTAACGACCGCCCATGGATGACTTCATCCTCCTCCTCCCAGCACCTCAACCATCTCGCTCACCCACACGCCTACAACGCCAATGCCTACGGGAGCCTACGAGTGCCGACAGCCTGCGGCCTACAGTCAACGGTCTGCTTCATAGTTGCTTCGCTCTAAAGCTTGCCCTGGAACGCCCGCCAGTCTGGCTCGATATGGCAGCAGATATGGAAGACCCCTCCTCTATCCATCGGAATTGCTCTGGAAACGGACGAAATGAAACAACTGCCATCCTATAAGAGACGGACCTGGCCCTGGAAATGGGCCCTGATCCGATGGTTGCATCTCCTTCGTGCTTCTCCACACGGCGTACCAAAGATCAGAGGCATCATCTGTGCTTGACCATTCCTATTTCCCCCGGCCCAACTACTAGGGCTTGGGCGTCAATATTTTAGCTAGCTGGCACTGCATGACCCTGTGGAGGGGAATTGAGGCCGCCTGGGGTACAGCCGGAGCCCAGCAGTCAACCTCTCTATATACGCTTGGAGTACGGAACAGCCGCCTTCAACAAACACGAAGGGAGATGAGAGGAAAAAGGAAGGGAAAGGGGGCTAAAGAGCGTATATACCGCACTAGGCGTTGATCAACAACTCATTTGGTTGCACGGGGGTTTGTCTCTCTCGTCTGGCCCATCCACGTTGGACCTTCCTGCACGTCAGTCAAAACTTCTGAATTTTGGCAGAACACCATGAAGGGAGAGCAAGAGGGAAACGGGGGAGGAGATTGGTGAAGGAAAAAGAAAGAAATCGGAGCTACTTTATGGTGGGGCGGGCCATCTCTGCCTCGATATTATCGCACGTCCTTTTGCTCGTTGTCTCTTGCTCTTCATGCAAAAGACCAACATATACTTCGTACATTTACCGGCGGAAAGGTCGCGTGTGGTGAGCCGCTCAAGACCTTACATGGATGTATCCGTTCACACAAGATACGGAGAGGGTGCGCTGGCTGACATGGCTCGATGTGGCTCCTTTCCGAGACTCTCTAAACTGTCATCACGACTGGGCCGCCTTGTGTCATCTTTTTTTTTTTTTTTTTTTGTTCTTTCGCGCAACTACAAGAAAAACAACCTGAGGAAAAGAAAAGAGAGTCTAGGAGCCAGATGTAAAAAGCAAAACGGACGTCAGACTCGCTATCATGCATGATGACGACAAGACGATGATACCCTCTTTTCCGATCCAGGGGCCAAGAGCCAATGGAAGAAAGCCGAGGAGGCTAGGCTAGGATCCATCCCCAGCACGACAAACCATATGGTGGACTCAAACCGCCTCTTTTATCCACCAAAAAAATGATGTAAACGGCTCCTTCTCCTCCACACCTCGGTTTTTTGCTCTGATGAAGACAGACTTTTTGCTTTATATCCGCAGCCTTGCTACTTATGTGATAGCGTGGACAGTTGTCACCCTTGGCGGCAAGGGGGTTGCGAATAAAGACAATGAAACCGGGCCGGCGTTAATGCATCCAGCAACCGACTGCAATGCAGAGTTGAAACGTCTCATTGCATATTAATTGTTACCTCTTCTCTCACGCTTTTCTCAGTCTTGTCACCAACCCCCCCTTTTCTTTTACCGCAAATGTCGACGTTTGGTACCCGATTTGTGACGTAGGCCAAGGCTGCGCCGGTGCACTGATGATCCCTCGCTAGGAAAGGTTAAACACATGTCGACATACAATATTTCAAATCCGCCTTTTCTTTTTCCCCATATTTGGTCGCAACGCCGCGGGATAGCCAGTCTATTCTTTCCTAAAGAGGGGAGATCATGCAAGTCTTGTTCCTCAAAGATGCTTCTTTGCTGGCCCGAGTCCATTTTAACCTCCATTTAAGGGTGGAACCTGTCCAACGCTGAGCAAGAAAGGAGACTCTTGCGTCGGTGGATGCGCGGGAGACTTGACTATCTCGTAAAGTATTCCAACAAGCCCATTGGGACTAACGGAGCAACGACGTTCTAGGCCCTGTCAGGACATGTGTTCGGGGCAAGCGAACGACACGGAGCTAGGCCTGCAACGGTACAGCGTACGCTCGACGCAGCACTATGATGCAGCAATGCATGTCGACTTTACTTGCCGTCCGCTTACAGGGACAGCATGTCCAGCGCCCCCTTACTTACGTCCATTTCTGGGGTTCCCGGGGCTCATACTCCGTACAAATTGAAATTACTTTATCTTTCAACCCAAGAGCAGACGGGCTCACAAGCTTGCATAAAATATGACGGGTAGCTATCTCTTTGAAATGTACGTGCATGGGTTCGAACTGAAGGAACTGACGTACTCCGTACAACGACGTCCCAATTGCATATTACCCTAGCCGCTGTCCAGTTTACGAGAAGATCTCCCCTCCTTTCTGAGATGGCGGTGGACGAATTTAAATAATTAGGTGGCTGGACTGGGGGTTGTACCTCCAATGCAACTCTCTGCTGCCGCGTTGTCACCGGAAAGATAGCCCATGCAAGATATGATATCCATATGCAGTCCGGGACTCCTGGAAGGATGGAAAGGCGCAGAGGAATGACGGGGGCGCACGCCGCCCCAGAACCACGTATCAACTGTCTTCCCATGTGTACTGTCAATAAGCTAGCTCCTTTTTTCTTCGTCTAATGGGGAACACCCGATAGCTAATCGCCATCCAAGGGGTTGACGGGAGCTAATATGAGTCCCTCTCTGGCTTCCGAGGAGATGTCTCTTTCAAATCTTATCTCATTATAGTGGACGGAGATGGAGATCTAGGTTCTCCCTTTTGTTCTCGACCCGTTAGCTAACTGCCGTCGAACGTCATTTCACTTTCTCTATCCACCTTAGTTATCGGCTATTGAGATGTATAACTAGGGATGAAACGAACGAACTAGCGAGACCTGCATCTATGGAGCATTTTATGCTGAACTAGGGAGGAGGGAGACCCTCTTCAACATCCGTGTCGACCTGCCCTCGTCAAATGAAAGGGGGCTGGGAGACTAGGCAATGCATGAATTCCACATCTTCTCACCCATGCCTCTTGCTGGGATCTCTTCACATATGACCCAAAGCATATAATGACGAACTGCATGAGGATAACCGGATGTTTGAATACCGAGTTGTTTTATGAAATGCTTAAAAATATAGCTGTTGAGAACCATCGTATCAGTGTCCGAAGAATCTCGGATAAAACTCCCAGGCGTCGAGACATTCGGGTTCTTTGAGAAAGATTGGAATGTAGGTGTTCATCCATTCACCATATACTTCGGCTGTGTATTCGGCTTTGCAAAACTCCCAGTAATCAGGATACCAGCCTGATTGCCGCCAGTCAATAACCGCAATTATCTTATTAGAGGTTTCAGAGACCATGATATTGCTTGGATGAAGATCACTGTGGGTAAAAACAACCTTCGCATCATCTGGTAGCATACTTCGATAAGGGTCTGGGATTTCGGACAGTTCTTTGCCTGGCCAGAGAGGGCGGATGCGTGTTTTTATTGCCATTGTCAGCCAGTCGTGAAGCTGCGCAACGGAGTTGAACGGCCCCGCGGGAGGCAGTCTTGCATTGGTAAAAATAACATCACCAAGTGGTTCACGGTTAATATGCCCTTTTTTCATTTAGAAGTAAGCAACGATTCATGATTCACAATAGACGTAAAGTATGAGTGCAAGAGTGTACTTAGCAAGGAAGAAATCACCTGGTGCATGTCGTAGCCTGCGATAGTCAAGGATAATGTCACGAAGCTGCTCACATATCGCTACTCGCTCAGCCGGACCTAGAGAGCCCCACCGCTGTTCAGCGTAACCCCCTTTATCAGCTCCATATAGATGAAGACTTGACCCTTATCGTGAGCCCATCTGTACACTTCAGGGGCAGGCACCATGGGCAAGGTCCGGCGGACCGCCCAGAGTAGCTGGCCCTCAGCAATGGTCACCTCTGGAGCACGTCCGTACTTGACAATTAAGCCCAGATGCTCGTAGCGAACCGGCTTGAAACCATAGTCTCTTCTGGCCTGTGATGCAGGGCCTTGTATCGCACTCTGCTCACGTACATTGGCGGGTGACGGCAACGCAGCCTGAGCGCCATTGCGTGAGAAGAATGAGGACTCAAGAAACGTTGCTGACTCTGCGGATGGAAGCGCCCGGGAGGATATCGTAGGATGACTATTGGTTTCCATGAGTAAGACCAGCATTCTGAGCAGCCGGGCTGCGTAGTTGCTGTTTGGTGATGCCTAGTTCATCACGGAGTGGTTAGCCGCCTCTCATCGACTGCCTAGCTGCATCCTGAAAGCAGCTGTGCGAAGGCGTAAGACAGCCTTGCTAGTGTGGATCGACCGCCATCAATCAGCGTCGTTCCACGTTTATTGATTAAGGCGCGCAACCCAGAAGATTGGGGCCTTGCGTTGAGATTGAGTATACTAGAGTTGAAAGATACGTGGACGTAGCTGGTTAACGCCTAAGGGGGACCTTGGAGGCACCGGCTCATCTTACTAACTACTCCATACCTGGGCTGCTTATGCAAAACAACCGGAAGACAACTAGATAGTAGCTGATAGGGTGTGGAGCGCATACAATATAGCCTGCCTCACTTCTAATCCCGGAGGTGAGAGATTTCGGGGGGGAAAAGAGGCTTTTGTCGGCTTTCATTGCGCTTGTTGCATCCAGGCTGAGCCCAATTTTGCACAATCAATGGATCAAAGGCATAATTACGAAGTACACTCGGCAATTTACAAATCAAGCAATCTCCATGCCCAAGAGCGACGTTAAGCCGCCTGTGGAGATCCAATATGCCGGCATGCTCGAACTCTGTATGCGAGTGCGGGAGATATAGCGGGGGACCAGGCTGTCAAGAGTAGTAAGTACCTGCCATTTTACTAAAAAAAAATCGGGGATAAATAAGATGTTCAAGGGTATGATGGGAAAAGATGATATTTTTTATGGCCGGACCAAAGGCGAGACAAATAAAGTGATAATTACAAAAAAGATAGAAAAAGAAAGAAAGAAAAAAACACTTGGAGGACTAGGGTATGCGCGGAGGAGGGATACAGGCCGAAATCTCGTATTTCCGCACCTTTGTCCCTCATTTTCCTCTCGTTCTCTCCCAAGGCTGCCGCGGTGCCTGTTCTCTTAATTTTTCCTATGCACGCCCAAGGACACCAATTGCTCAATTGATACCATATCCATGACCTTCTTTTTTGGTCTTGATTCTCCCCAGCTCGCTCGCCCTGGAGGTAGTTACGTACCAACGAGATTACCATGCAGGCGTGGCCGAGAAGAATGGCGCGACCGTTTTCCAAACCGACTGCATTTCGACTATCGATCATGCCGAAACTTCAACGCCGTTTTCTGCAAGCTCCTTTTCCTTCGCAGCAAACTCTGCCGTCTGTTCTTCAGTCAACTCTAGAAGCGGCTTGTTCTCACCAAGTTTGATATTTCTGTGGTATGCACGGATGATGCTGTCTGCATCGTCGACGGCAATGGGCCGGATGTCGGCAAGAGCCTTGATCTTGGCTGTACACTCCTTGTACTGTGCATCAGTCATGTCAAGGTTGAGCTGCTGAGCTCGAGATTTGATGGCGTTCCAGCCTGTGAGGCGAGAGGCAAAGTGCACATAACGTGTCATGCCAAAGTCGGCCGGGTTGATAATCTCATAGGTGCTGGGGTTGTTAAGAATGGCCTTGGCGTGGATGCCAGCCTTGTGGGTGAAGGCACAGAAACCGGTGATGGGGTTGTTGAAGGGAATGTTGACCTGGACTGCTTCAGCGACAAGGTCTTCGATATCCTTGATCTTCTCCAGCTTGTATTTGCTGAGAACATAGTCGCGGTCCGCGGCGATCATACGGGCCATCAAACCACCAAGCGGGGTGATACCATTTCGCTCACCGATACCTAGAACGGAAGTATCAATGTGCGTGGCGCCTCCTTCGAGGGCACAGTATGCGTTGGCAATCGCACATCCTGTGTCGTTATGCAGGTGGATCTCAATGTCACACTTGACAACACCACGCAGCACACGGACGAGCTCGTACACCTGGCGTGGGGAGGCACAACCAACTGTGTCGGCGATACCAACACGGTTGACACCTACTTGATCGACAGCAGAGTAAATTGAGAGAAGATCAACGAGGTCTGATCTGAAGGAGTCTTCGCTTGAGAAGCGGACTTCAATGCCCTTGGATTTAACGAAGTTGATGACCTCGATGGCGGTGTTCTTGATATAGGTCATGTCCTTGCCGTGAGAGTGCTCACGGAGGTAGGAAGAAGTACCGATAACAACGTCGCTAATGAGCGTTAGCCTGAGTCAGCAAGATACTGACAGAGTGGTCGCCCAGGAATGAATTATCTTACACTCCATCGACACCAGTATCTACCGCTATCCGGGCATCGTCCATATGACATCTGATATGTGTGAGGATCTATGTTTCAGTGTTAGTCCATGCGAAGTGAAACAGCATCGTCGATGCAAAGACAGCGGCAATACCTTTGCCTTCAATCCAAGTTTGCAGATAGCTTCACAGTCCTTTCTCGACTGCTCAGAGGCGCATGGCGAGGTGAGTTCGATCTATTGACGTACAACTTTGGTCAGTTAAACAATGTCTATGTCTGGGTGAACTCCAGAAAGTCATGACTCACATAATCTACACCAAAATCGTCCAGGGCCTTTGCAATTTCAATTTTCTTCTCAGTATCGAAGAAGGCATTGGCAAACTGCTCTCCCTCTCTTAGAGTACTCTCAATGATCTTGAATCTCGAGACATTGCTGAGGAAATCTGTCACACCGGCATTGTGGCCGTACGGATTTCTTGAGATGTGTGGGTGAGGGTTCTGGCGGGTCTGAACTGCGGTGAAGCCTTCATGATTGCCTACAATGAGAATAATTATCAGTAAATGGCTGTCAATTTTCTCGGTCTGAATTGTGAAATGCTCATACCATTTGGTGCAATTGTGACTCCATTGGTATTATTATCATCGCTTGTGTGGCTGCTACAGCAAGGACGAGAGCCGGTATCGGTGGCCATCTTGACGTGGGGGTTCTAAGCTAATGCTAAGAACAAAGATAGAGGAGCTGGGTGATATTGAATCGATGTTTCTATCAGGGGTCAGCTCCTTTATAAAATAAAATGATCGAAATATGACCGCAAGAGGAGGGAAAAAAAAGAGAGTCAAAAGTCTGGTTGACAAAAAGTCGAGAAAATAAGATAAAAAGATCCATCGATGACTCGATTCTTGCTCTGATAAGCAACCCTGGTTCCCATGGTGTAATAAAAATGTACTCGCAGGAAAGAATTTTCTGTACTGGCCATACTAGCGTATGCCAGCTACCAGTAAAACTGCGCGCTTTGCCAAACGACCGCGGCTGTTGGGTGGATAAATTACAATCCAATACCGACCGCACAAGCCGCGAGCACTTTGACCTCCATTTTAGCACGCGGAAACAGGCCGACACCACTCTATCAAGCTGCATTTTCGTCGTCTCTTCTCGGCCAATTTTTTGTCTTCCATAGCAATTTATGAGATGTCGTTAAAATAAAAATGGACGACGAGAAGAAGACTTCCCAAAATGGTAACAAGCTCACATGTTACATGACTAAGATATTATGTAAAAAACTATATTACTAAGAACTTACCAATCGAGTTTATAGCTGTCTTATTAATCTATTACTAAGCCCCCTTATGTTTTCATTCTGCTGTCATCGCGAATGTCATTTTTCATCATCAACAAACAACAACAGAAAAAAAAAAAAGTATTCAGACAAAGGGACGAGCGAGAAGGAAAAGCACAGCATCAACTTGAGCTCGAATATCGTCGCACACAGTCAGCTCCAGCTTGCTACGTTGATATCCACGCATTTTCAATCCATCGACGCCTCTTTGCCTCTTGTTCTACCCTCTCCGCCCCAGTGGACCTTACTCTAGACTGGGGATACCGAGTTCTGGACACCTTAGCAAGATCTATACCACAGACAGCATAAACATAATGCATCTTTCTACTCTCATTCTACTCCCGGCTCTCGCTGCGGCACAAGAGCAGGTTCCGTTTGCGGAACGTCTCCAGGGTTGGTTCAACCAAGCCAAGGAGCTGCTGCCTACTCCAAAGGTTCCCCAGGCTGTCGCACCCGTTACCACTCCTGCTCCTCCAAAGGCTGCCGTCGTAAAGCCAAAGACCGTTGCCCAATTCAACCCAGACAATTGGAGGGATATACTTGCACCTCAATCAAACCCACAGGAATGGTTGATCTTTGTCACTGGTGGTAACAAGACCTGCTATGGACAATGCGGACAAGCAAACCGCGCCTGGAAGGTTAGTCGCATTGCACAAGCGCAAATTCCATCGCTCACTACACAGTTGTACTAACGGTACGCTTTGCGCATTTTAGGAATCACAAAACCAGTTCGCCCTCGACTCCAAGTCTCCTAACCTTGGACGTCTTAACTGTGAAGCCCAAGGTCTTCTCTGCGCCATCTGGTCTGTTAGCCCACCAATGCTATGGCACATCCAGGTCCCCAGTACGCCATCCATCGGCGAAGAGAAGCCATTGACTCCCATTCACCCCTTCCGTCTGAATGCTACCACTGTCACCGCCGACGATATCTACAAAGTACACTCCGAGAAGCTCTGGGAGAAAGAGCCTGAGCTTCAGACCATGTTCCACCCATTCAATGGCCTAGCCGCCGAGTACCGCATCAACGAGGCCGTTGGCTATATCATCTACTGCCTGGGTATGATCCCCAGCTGGGCCATGATGGTCGGTATCAGCTTTATCAGCAGAACCATGATGTAAGATTTCTCCCCTTTTATTTTCGCCGCAATGTATACGTGAAATGACGCTAACTCCACCAAAAATAGGAGCCGTAGAATGGGCCGCCCGGGCCAAGGTCCAGGGGCTCCCGGTGGTGCCGCCCCTGCTCCCGCTCAATAAATACTAAGCCTAATGCCCCTATGCCTTTGTTCTATTTGTTCTAAGCAGGTTATTCCGAGGTCAGGCTGCCAACGGTACTGCCGCTTTCTACTTGTTTCCTCTTTCTCGTCCTTGGGAAAAATTCTGGTCGGATTAATGTCTTTTGGGGGTAGATAATGGATGGAGATCATTTTGTTTCTTGTTATCTACTTGTGGTGCGAGGTTTGCGCGTAGCCAACGGCAGCCTCTATTAAAAAGGTTGAGATGTATTTTATTTATATTATCTTTTCATAATCTATCATGAATATCTCGCTATATACTGTAAATAATTACTGCTCTGTTTGTCTTGTTACAATTTAACATTATTTTATTGTTCTACAGTGTTGTGGTTAGCTAGCTTAGCTTATCTTTGAACATCTCGTCTGCGGATAATCTTCCGACCAAACACCATCCTGTCGCATAACCAAGGTATTTGAACTACCTCACCATGGCACTTCCGGTCGATCGTCCTACGTCTACGGCAGCACTTGTGATCGCTACTTCGGTCCTTACTGGCGTAATTGGCTATTATCTTGGCCAAGGCGCATCGATAGGAATTTTCTCATCCTCACCCAGTCATGCGCAAAAGGAAAAGTTGATAGCAGACGAGGACGATGAGGAGGAAGAAGAAGACGATGACGATGTCGAGGGTGAGCTTGCGACATTTGAGGGGAATACAGATGAAGTGAAACTCGTTCTGGTCGTGAGGACGGACTTGGGGATGGGCAAAGGTATGTCTTTTACCAACACAATGAGCTTCAAATTTTTTTTCCCCTAACTACAATAGGATTCATGTAGGCAGCTGGCTAACTGGTGATTTTCATTTTTGTTACAGGCAAGATAGCGGCACAATGCTCCCACGCGACTCTCGCATGCTACAAATACTACTTCAGCAAATCTCCGAATTCACCTATTCTAAAGCGCTGGGAAAGACAGGGCCAGGCGAAGGTTGCGTTACAGACAAAGTCAGAAGACGATCTACTAGTACTTCAAGCTCAGGCTACCAGTCTCGGGCTATGTGCTCGTGTGATCCAGGACGCGGGACGAACACAGATCGCGAGCGGCAGTCGGACAGTGCTGGGAATATTAGGTCCAAAGAGCGTAGTAGACTCGGTTACGGGGCATTTGAAGCTGTTGTAAATGATAACGATTTATTAGCCACAGAGAAAAAGTATTTACGAGAAGAGAAAACTTCGAATTGCGGACTGTATGTTGGCTGTCATGGTTTTTCCCTAACCTCACCAACCGACGGCCATCGGTAAAGAGAGATGGAATATGACGCCCACAGCAGGCCCGGGCCATCTCACCGAGCTCACCCGAAGGAGGCTCAAGGCAGAGTGTTATAATCCCGGCGCTGAATCTTCATCTGAGATCTGTCGACCGGAAATTGACATCATGAGAAAAACGGTTATACACCAGATGGATGGCTCCATGGGTCGTCGAACTGTCAAGCAATACGACCGAAACACATTCAGACTAGACGCGAACGAATAGCTTCATGGAACGGGATCGCAAGACACAGATCTGTTGTTTGGTAAAAGAAGAAGAAGAAAGCCAAAAAAAATATTTTGAGAATTTTAACGGTTTTTTATATTTTGATATTCGGAGTGGAGAATAGTCATCTCCGTGATGACATAAGCACCAAGGCAACCGACCGAAGCTTCAAAAGTTGAAAGTTGAAGAAAGACGGATTGATAGATTGGAGGATTTTGATAGTTGACGCTGTTGGTTATATCTACGGTCGTTACCATGGCGGACGCACTCTCTATCGAGCAGAACAACAAGATCCGAGTTGCTCTCGGTCTTGCGCCGCTTCCTGTCCCCGGCGCAGCTAACGATGGCCCAGCCTTCAAGTCCGGAGCTGGCGATGAGTCCGCATCGTCTGACGGCGAGGAGCCAGCCAGCACACTGGAGACTCGAGAAGCACAAGGCTACGATAACTGGAAAGCTATCCAGGAGGAGCGTGAAGCACAGCAGAAGCGAGAGGCCCGGAAAGATGCTATTCGACGAGCTCGAGAGAACGCGCAGCGGATGGCGAAGCTGGAGGGCAAGGGACTCGGCGAAGGTGGTGATGATGCAGAGCTGGATACACGGTCATGGCTGATGCAGCATAAGAAGAAACAAAAGAAGATTGAAAAGGAGCGCGCCAAAAGACTTGCTGAAGAGCTCGCGGAACGAGAACAGCAGATGGCGGAATATACCTCGAAAGACCTGGCTGGAGTGCGAGTTGCGCATGAAATTGGCGATTTCGACGACTTTGATGAGAGTGGGGAGAAGGTTCTTACGCTCAAGGATACGACTATTGACGAAGATGAGGAAGAAGGGGCCGAGCTGGAGAATATACAGATGCGAGAGGGCGAGAAGACGAAGGAGAGGCTGGCGCTGAAAAAGAAACGAGTGGCATATGACCCTAATGATATGGATGGGAGTGGCACTATCCTATCACAATATGACGAAGAGATTGATGGGAAGAAGAGGAAACATTTCACCCTTGCGTCAGGCGAGCTTACACCGCAGGCTAGGGAAGCCAAGCGGCAGGATGTGTCGTCGAAGCTAAAGATGGAGCCTGTTCACCTGGACGGACTGCTGGAGAAAGAAGTTGCTGCTTCGGACTACATGGATGCCTCGGAGATAAAAGTGAAGAAACCCAAGAAGAAGAAGGCCAAGAGTACAAGGAAGAGACATGTTGAGGAGGATGAGGAGACGTCTACACCCGCCGCTCCATCAGATACCAATGGTGACCAGATGGAGATGGACGGGGGAGGGCCGGAGAAGATGACTGCTGGGTCCACTGTCCCGGCTAAACGGCCGCAGGAAGATATCTCATTTGTCGATGATGACGATCTACAAGCTTCTTTAGCTGCGCAGCGGAGAGCAGCATTCAAGAAGAGAAAGAAAGTTCGCCCTGAAGACCTTGCTCGGCAGCTCAGAGAAGAATCAGAACAAGCACAAAACGCAATGGACGTTGATGGAGCTGATGGAGATGAAGGTGGCCTGATCTTGAACGAAACCTCAGAGTTTGTTGCCAATCTTCAGAAGCCTGCGCTACTTGAACGTGCACGCTCAGCGTCGCGTGAACCTACGGCTGTTACTACTGAAACCCCAGCCAATCCACCACATGCACTACAACCCACAGTGGAAGAGGAGGCCTCTGATGTGGAGATGGAGCCGGCGTACACCGTGGTCGAACAAGAAGAGCCGGAGAGACAGTCGGCAGAACCACAGGCAGACATCACGGCCACCGGCCTAGAGGAAGAATCAACACTTGACCAAGGCCTGGGCGCAACTCTAGCCATGCTCAAGCAGCGCGGGCTTGTGACTGCGAGTGAACAGGACGGCCGGTCTATCAACGCCCTGCACCGCGATCGCCAACGCTTCCTGGCTGAAAAACGCCGTCGTGAAGCCGAAGCAGAACGCATTGCTAGAGCTCAGCGAGAACGAGACAGAGCCTCGGGTAAGCTTGACCGCATGTCTGCCCGGGACCGTGAAGAGTATGCTCGCTGGGAGAACAAGCAGCGTGACCAGCTTGAGTCTCGGGCGATGGCGGACGTGTTCAACCGCGAGTACAAGCCTGATGTTCAGCTGAAGTATGTTGATGAATTTGGCCGCCGAATGAACCAGAAGGAGGCGTTTAAGCATCTCAGTCACCAGTTCCATGGCAAGGGAAGTGGGAAGATGAAGACTGAGAAGCATCTTAAGAAGATTGAGGATGAGAAGAAGAGGGAGGCTATGAGTACGTTGGATAGCAGCCAGAACACAGGCATGAATAATGCTATGGGAGCCACGGCGAAGAAGAACCGCCAGGCTGGCGTGAGACTGGCGTAGATTATCAGTCTTGTCTATAACGATATATACCATTTTGTACTTTTATCCTTCCCTTTATCCTTACTTTTTAAGATGTTTTCCTAGTAGATGGTTAGTAAGGTTTGTACCCCTTTTCCTTGCGCTGTTTGGTAGGCCGTATAGACGAAATCTCGGCGGATGAAGCAGACTCCTCCTTCCACAGCCTTACATGGCCGTCTTCACCACATGTATAAATCGTCCGTGACTGTAGCAGTTAGTATATAAGAAATAGAAGAGATAGGTAGTAAACAGGATGCTAACCTCGCTGTCAAAAAGTACTGAACGAACTACTTCTTCTCCATGAGCGCCCGGCAGCATCCACGAATTCGACTGCTCAAAATGAAACTTTGGAGTATGCACCAGCGGCGTCAATGATAGACTCCGATCACTACATATATCATTTATCAGCATGGCCTTGAAAGTACAGAAGTGAAGGAGGGAACTCACCTTGTCCTGCCGGACGCAACATAGCTCCCAGCTGCATCAACCAGAACCTGCACCACATACTCTGCCTTTAGCACCGGCCGCAGATCCCCAAATTCAGCGGCCTTGACTTCATCAGCGTGGCTATCGTCTTCATCTGCAGAAGTTACTGGATGGATGGAGAACATTTCATCATGAGAGAGGGCATAGACGGCTTTATCTTGCATGAAACCCGCATGATGTATGGAAGAATGTTTGACTACTTGTACTAAAGCATCCTCCTCCTCGGGGACTGTGGTATCATATATGTTTACCAGGCCATCCGTGCTGCCTGACAGAAGTATTGAAGGGCGAGAAGGGTGAAATTGTATCTGTGGTTATGGGTGTTAGCACGGCGTTGATATGGAAGTAGTATAGGGCTTTACCTCTGTGACATCGTCGTTGTGGCTTTCAACGTACTGACGACAGGTTTTCCCTGGTGATCGTGTGTCCCTATTTCATGTTAGTTGTCCGTACAGTTCGTTGAATATCTGGGTATATAGATATACCAAAATAGGACAAAGGCGTCTGGCTTTACCAGCTCCGTGCCAGCAACAATTGAATGAGAAGATGCATTACAGGCCAACGAGAGCAATGGCATGCCTTTATCTACTCCAATTAGCATCCATCCGTACAATTATACTTAAGTCAATAAGGGGGTATAGGTGTACCAGCTTGAAAGACAGCTACGGCGCCAGCCCGGCGAGCGTCCCAGAGCTTGACCGTCCCGTCCTTCCCGCAGGTCGCCAGCAGCCCATCACCCGCAGCACAAAGCGAGCTGACGCCCGCCGCATGCGTCTCCTTAGCCAGCCCGTCCGGCAGAAGCGCCAGGGAGCTGCGGTCGAAGCGGCGTAGCGAGTTGTCTGATGAGATGGCTGCAAGGGACGCCGGGCCGGCCGCGCAGAGCTGGTAGATGTAGCTCTCGGCGGGCAGCGAGAGGGAGGAAGACGAGCAGCAGCGGAGGTTTGGCATGATCTGGATCCTTCAGCTGGAGGATTCTTGTTTAATTATGGGTATTGTTTGAGGCGCTGCTGCTGCTGGTGATGATGTTTTATCTCCGTCCAGCGAGATTTGTTCCTTTTCTGTGCGGGAAGAAAAAGCTGCAACGTCTCCGCCGCGACAACAACAACTACGCAGCTACAGACTACAGGCTACGATCAGCTACAGAATAACTACGCGGCTCGACGAGAGATGGAGGTCGAAATGGTCGGCTACCGAGAGTTGGAGTAAGTAAGTGAGATGATGTGCAGGTTCTGCAGCTGACTGCAGCCTCAGTTACAGCGTCAGCCACAGCCATCTGGCGGCCCTACCAGCAGCAATCAAACTGCAGCTTTGCCACTGTGAAGAAGAAGAAAAGATACCGCAGATGCAGGAGAAGAAGCAAAAAAACAAGAGGCAGAAGAAGAAAGGAAAAGAAGAAAAAAAAAAGAGGAGCGGAAGCCACCCCGTCTGCTGGTACATCCCTCTGCACGACTCGGTTACCATGGAACAGACCCCGGCTGGCTGAAGGAGGAGGAAGAACGAAGCCCGCTCAACCTGCTCTTGCTTAGCTGTTTTGTCCGGTTCAGCTGCTAGAGCGGAGTGATTGACATGGACGACCGCACTGCAACGCCGCGAGTGACTTGCCTGAGTGACTTTGTGACTGCTTTTCCTCCCTCTTAGTCCCAGACTGTGCTGGCATGGCATGCCACGGGTGTCCAGCGGGTTGGTCCAGTGGCAGCTCGTCTCATCCGCACTCGCCCTCGGTTTCAGCATCGGCCCTGTCTGTCTGGTTTGTCTGGTCGAGAAGTGCCGGATCAGCAGCTAACTAGGCCCAAGGAGAAAAAGGCAAAACAAGCAGGGCACAGAAAGGCAAAGCAAAGCAGAGTGGAGGCGGGCCGGTCCAGCCAGAGAAACGATAAAAGGAAAAAAAACAAGGGCGAAGAAACGAGAGCGAAGAAAGGGAGGGAGAAAAAGGAACGAAAAGAAGGACGAAGAATAAGAAGAAAGACTATTAAGTTATCATTGATTGATGGACGGGCGAAGAGGAGAGAGAGAGTATCATATCATATTCCTCTCCCCAACCCCCATGTCCGGCCGGGTTGACTGATCCATGTCATGCTGATGATGGACAGGCTGGGTTCTTCACGGCGTAAGGGCCCAACACGCGACAGACAGACGGACAGGCTACTACTAATAATAATGGACAACAGCAACAGCGGCATTCAAGTCAGTCTGACCCGACGAGGGCGAACCGGGCACAGAATGCGAGGGAGGATGACTTGGTCGGTGGATAATGGATGGCTCGAGATGAAACGCAGCTGGCGGTCAGTGGAGCAGAAGGACGGTGCTCATAAAGTAGCAGAGTGAATACTGGACGAACACTCCATATACTCCATATATGCGCTGTCTATTATTACCTGCCTGCCTGCCTGCCTGCCTGCCCGGCTCTCCTCTCAGAAGGGAAGATGCATGCATGAGGGAGAAGTGCTACCGTTCGGCTGGCCGGTAGCACCAGGACAAAGCGGTTCTATTATATGTCACTATCGCTATTATAGAGCAGAAGAATAAGAAGAATCGGGATCCTTTATCACGGCGTCCTACAGCTGCTATTTGTTACTCTCAACTCACCAGCTCCGCCATCCTCCTCGACGGCTTTATCTTGTTTGTCTTTGTAAAGAAAAAAAAAAAAATACGGGGCGTTGGCTTCTTAGCGCGAGCGTTGCTTCTTCCGCCCGCCGACTAGACAGGGAGCCTTGCCTCTCCTCTGCATTCACTCTCGCTCTCTTACTCTCTCTCTCTCTCTCTTTCTACGCTCTCTACACTCGCTACATTCACTGCCTTACGCTCGCTCAAGATAGACAGACAACTCGCTCGCGCTCAGAGGAGACCGCTTGACCAGCTGCTGGCCCCGTCCTAGGATGTCGAGCTGCCTCTATCCCCCCTAGACCGACCTTCGCAGCAGACGGCGGACCAGCAAGCACCCAGAACGCCCCCGACAGACCGACCAGCAAGAAGAGCACACCAGGACCCTGAAGAACGACCGGCCGAAGAGACGAAGAGACGAGGATGGCTCTGGCAGTGCCGGACGGCGGGCTGACGCTGCACCGCGACGCTGCCTCCTCCCAGTTCCTCCGGCTCAACCTCCCCCAGTCGACCCTCGCAGACCTGCTCCAGGTGCTCAACGACCCGTCTCTGCCAGCCGCCGCTGCTCCTCGTCTGCGGCTGGGAAAACACCCTTCGCTGCTCATAAACTGCAAGCCGACCCCCTTCCACGCCTATCCCCAGACCTCTCGCTCGGAGATATACCAGCACGGCGGCAGCCAGAGCCAGGATGCCTCCGCCGGCGGAGACGGAGGCCTCTACTTCTCGGGCGTGCTCAGCCATAGCCTGGAGGTGCAGAAGGCCAAAGAGGCCACTGCGGCCACCGACGAGGCCCTCACAAACCTCGAGCGCAGCCTCAACGCCTTCGAGAAGGGCAAGGAGTCTCGCCGGACTCCCCTGATCGCTACCATTGACCAGATGCGGGCCCTGGGCGCCGGCGACAGCAGGTCGGCCACGGGCAGAGAGGCCGCCAGTCTGGCCAGAAAGTCGACCAGCAGAGCCGACCAGGAGAAAGAGCGCTTCTTCAAGAACGCCAATGCCTCTCGATCGACGCCTGTGAGCCCGGCCCTCGTTCCTCTCTCGCCTCTGCCGCCGGCGGCGGCTGCTGCAACTACTACGGACCGGGAGAACCAGCGCCTCGAGGCCATCCGGACACCGCTCATACACCTGCTCGCCATACGGCCCGTCTCGGCCAAGTTTCTCGCTGCTCGAACGCGCTGCAACAATGCGGATGTGCTCGCTCTGACCAACAAGCTGTGCACTCCCAACCGGCTGGACGGGTCCAAGTTCGATCTCAAGGACAAGGTGTACAAGGATCTCGATGTCTGGTCGTTCCCTTACCCGTCAGACGAGGAGAGGACGGAGGCGATCGAGAATGCCATCTCTGCCTTTGACCGGATGCGGATTTCCAAGGCAGACCGGCTCTGGCAGACATTGCTGCCCAAGCATGAGCGAGGAAAAGGAAAGGTCCTCTCCCGGCTCAATCTACGCACCCAGCCCCAGGGCCAGGCCCAGACACAGCAGCAACAGTCTAGACTACAGGTCCAAGAAGAAGGCGGGTACGGCACCGGCAATGAGTCCGAAGGCCCAGCGGCCCCAGACCAGTCCATGACCACCACAACAACCCCGACGATCTCACACCACCCTCCAACTGCCAAACCGGCGGCGAAGAAGAGAGGAGGGCTGGAAAAGGCACTCTCTTCCAAGCGAGGGCCCAAACCAAAGTCGACGCCCGCTGCTACGCTTACGGGCAAAGTAACCAAGAAGACAGAGAAGAAGACGCCAGCGGCCGGTTCTGCGGCGTCGCTCAAGTCGAGGGATGCGGACCGATTCAAGTCCTCCGAGTTCATCCTCGACTCAGACGAGGAAGAGGCGGCGGCTAACAGCATCGTCGCCAGCAGCAAGCCTACCCTCGCAGCCACAACAACACCAACGACAACTGCTGCTGCTGCTACTACTACTACTACTACTACCTCGACTGCCCAGCGCGGCCGGCCGCCAAAGACAAAGAAAGTGCCCGCCAGACGACAGCCCCCTTCAGCCATATCCGCTCCGACTACGTCAACAACCACACGACCGGCCAATGTGACTTCACCACTGAAGCCGTCTCCTCTAGGCTCGTCACCGCCTACCAATGCCTCCGACGTCGACGTCCCCAGCGCCCGCCCGTCCACCACAAAGTCTCGCCCTCACTCCAATTCACACTCGTCCAGCTCTTCTTCACCCCTGATACACCATCTTCCCCGGAAGATTCCCCCGGCGCAACCGGCAAAATCTCGACCAACACCCCCGTCCACGGCAACCTCCACCTCCACATCAGCATCCACCTCCGCATTGCCATCTGCGTCGACAGCACCCGCCAAGCCAGGG